CACCCTAATACATATAATCACGCTTCGCTAATTGCCCTAGCCATTATTACCATACGTAATAATGACCTCCCGCCCCGGAATCTCTCACTTCACCGCATAAATGACAGGTTACCAATAGAGATACGGGTCGTTATCATCCGGCAATTAAATTGTTGACGCATATCCAATTACTACGACCAGCGAGTCCGACGGGAAGGTCGATTCGCAGCCGAAGCGAAGCCATTTTCGCACGGATTCGAATGAACCCGCGCGAGTGAGGCTCCGAACGCTTCCCGGGGAGGTCGTACTCTGGGGGGGAGGGGGGGTCAGTAGTAACTCGAGGTGTCATGGCGTCTGTTATGATGATTGTTCAGTGAAAATATAACTATTAAAACCATTATTTTCCTTTTTTTTTTTTTTTTTGAAAATTCAAAAGACCAAAATGATCATCAATATTCACAAAGCAACCGTAACTTTTGTGACGTCATCGACACACACACACACGGGGTTTATTTTGATGACGTCACAAAAGTTACGGATGCTCTCTGAACATGGTCGGTCATTCTGGTCTTTCCAATCTTCAAAAAGGATGGAAAATAATAGCTTTAATCGTTATATTTCCATCGAACAATCATCAAAACAACCGCCACGACACCTCCTCGAATTGCTACTGACCTAGCCTTCCCCCTTCCTGGCAATTCAAGTGATTGTCTCCGATTATATTCACCCCCTGACGTGCGACTTTTCGAAGCCAATGGTGACTGTTGGCGACTCGAACGACAGTCGCTCGAGGAACAACCCTTTCCGGACAGTCGTTTGGTGATGGTCGTTGAGCGATAATTGCACCGGATAAAACGTACCTTGAGCTTGTCGTCTCTTTCGTACGCGTATAGACACGTACACGCACTCCCGTACACACACACACACACACACACACACACACATGCAAGCACGCACACACACACACACACACACACACACACACACACAACACACACACACACACACACACACACACACACACAAACACACACACACACAACACACACACACACACACACAAACACACACACACACACACAAACACACACACAAACACACACACATAACCAAATAAATATGTATATATATATATATATATATATATATATATATATATATATATATATATATACATATATACTCTCACGTCACGACCAATACCCATCCTGTAACCGAATAGTTGAAAAAAAAAATCGAAAAAATTGCCGAATGACGCTTCCACATCAGCATGAACAATGGACAAGATGGAGTCTGACGGCGCAATTAGTTCCGAAATTGGAAAGCATAAATCGAAATTAGAGCAACCTCTGATGCGACTGTGAAGGGTGATTTCTGTTTGAATTTATTGCATTTTTGTTTTTGGTTTTTTGTTCTTGTTTTGTTTGTTTTTTCGTCGTTCTCTTCTTTCTTTTCTTCTCTCTCTCTGTCTGTCTTTTTCTCTCTTCTTTCTCTCTCTCTCTCTTTCTCTCTCTCCTCTCTATCTCTCTCTCTCTCTCTCTCTCTCTCTCTCTCTCTCTCTCTCTCCTCTCTCTCTCTCTCTCTCTCTCTCTCTCCTCTCTCTCTTCTCTCTCTCTCTCTCTCTCCCTCTTTCTCTCTCTCCTCTCTCTCTCTCTCTCTCTCCTCTCTCGTCTCTCTCTCTCCTCTCTCTCTCTCTCTCTCTCTCTCTCTCTCTCTCTTCTTTCTCTCTCCTTCTCTCTTCTCTCTCTCTCTCTCTCTCTTCTCTGTCTCTCTCTCTCTCTCTCTCTCATCTCTCTCTCTCCTCTCTCTCCTCTCCTCTCTTCCTCTCTCTCTCTCTCCTCTCTCTCTCTTCTCTCTCTCTCTCTCTCTCTCTTCATCTCTCTCTTTCATCGTCTCTCTCTCTCTCTCTCTTCTCGTCTCTCTCTCTCTCTCTCTCCCTCGTCTCTCTCTCTCTCTCTCTCTCCGTCTCCTCTCCTACGCCTCTCTCTCTCTTTTCTCTTCTCTTCATTCTCCCCTTCCTCTCTGTCTGTCTGTCTGGCTCTCTCTCTTTAATATATATATAATATACTATATAATATAATATATATAATATACTATACTAATATAGCTAGTATATATAACATATATATACTATATATATCATTATATATACTAGTATATATTATATCGCTCTCTGTCCTCTCTTTTTCTCTTTCTCATTAAACAATGATGATAATGATAATGAAAATATAGCTTGAAAGCAGACAGAGATCTCAAAACCTCCGTCATTGCAACAGGGCACTGATGCAATAAAAAATATATCGCACTTGAAAACTCAACATTTCTCAAGTACTTTGGTGACGTCCGTAAACATAACTTCCTTGGCAGATAATTAAAGATAATGTATGATAATAATAGTTACCCTAATTTCCCAGTGATTATTTTGAAAGATCCCTGGATCCGTTTTCACCAACAGAATCTAATGATCTGATCTAAGTTCGGCTAACGCACACACACGGCACACACACACACACACAC